TTTTTTTTTAAAATTGGCTTTCCCAAATTTTTTATCAGAACTTTAGACCATTGTGGACCGATTATTTCTGTGACAAGCTGGACTCATATTGGTCTAATCAGTATTGGCTAATATAGAGATGAGCACATTCATATTGAGTTATATTCCTTTACATTTCAACTGATGGAATTGCTAGTTGATTGTACCATCATGAAATTGCATCGCATATATATATATATATATATATATATTACTAGTTAATTAGCCCGCCCTTCGCGCAGTCAAAAATATCTATAGTAAATTAGTTGATATAAAAAAGATAAATGTGTGTGTCTATATATATATATATATATATATAGTGTGTGTGTGCGCGCGCGCACGCACACCCTGGCGCGTAAAAGGTAAAATATCAAATGAATAAGAAAAAATAAAATTGAGAAAAGTAAAAAACGTCCGTTAAATAAAAAAAATAAGAGCATCGTGTACCCTTTTGAAATTTAATATTAACAGAATTGCTAGAGAACAATCATAATTTAGGAAGGAAAGTTAACTCTCATTTTACAGAGAGAGAAATATACTATCGTTTTAATTAATTGATGTTCATAATTAGTTATGGTAAATATTAATAACACATACTAATATTTCTTTTACGGGAGAAACTTTTGATCTTACGCAACTCCTCTCTCTTTCCATTATATTTAATTAATTTTGATTCTTTTTAAGTCCTTTATAATTTTTTTGACAGAAGGAATATGTAAGGACATCTCAAATCAAATATGAAAAAACTCATTTACACTAGTATATTCGGACATGAATAAGGGGGAAAAAATACATAAATTTTTGTAGTTGATACGTAAAATAAAGGTATCGATATTAATCCCTATATCTAGCTTAAACATTCACTCTAAGAAATGTCATTTTTTAAATAAAAATGCGTGAAATAGAGAACTAAGAAGAGAAAACAAATTTATTAGCCTCAAACCTCTCCTGAGAGCAATGACGTAAAAGAAAAAACATAAAAGATCAAGATTCTAAAAGATTACAACCCCATAAGTACAAAATAGAAAAATTTAAGAAAAAGGTACGAAAATTACCTCCGTATTGACTGTGAAACTGATACAGTGTTTTCCAATTATATCACAAAGAACCGTCATCAACTACAATTAATCAACAACATACACATGCAACAAATCAATTTAAATTGCAAACTCGTATCATTGAACAAATACATTAAAGGATTTGGGAGAAGAATGGAGTAAGAGATATTTATAAGTGACTGAAATCTGAAAAAGTTCAGAATTAACATATAGGTGTCTGACTCCTGTTGTGAAAAAACTTGTTGTTACCTTCCTCCCAATTTATCCCCAGTAGATATCACGGGCTTATATTATTTGCAGGCTATTGTTTAGAAAAAGAAAAAGTAGAGTTACACTAATTCACACCGTGAATTTTTATATAGTAGTTTGCAGGCTTACACCGATTCATAAATATTTTCTTTAATTGTTACAACTGTTCAACTGTACTGAATATAATGCCGTCCTCTTTAATTGTTACAACAGTTATAAAATTTAAAAGGATGAGTTGGTTACGAATACGAAGGAACTCAATGTTAGAAGAGAGTTTTTTTGGACATATTAAATTTATTTAAATAAGATAAATAGAGAGATAAGTCAAAAAATACCAAAAAAAGAGAAAAAAGATAAATGTGTTTTTCGATCAAAAGGCATGCCACATCACCTCCTTAAATCCTAGCTATATATATAGAGAGAGATTAGCAAGAAAACAGAGCTCAAACGTAAAGTGACCAATATTGCACTATTATTCGCCTAGTATATTGTCTCAAGTGATATTATCATATTGTGGCTATATGTTCACTTTCACTAAAAAAGAAACTAAATTTTGTTGAGGAGCTTTAGCGGATAGGAGACACAATCATCGCCCACAAGTATACAGTGGCAAACATCCTATCAAGCTGCCTATACACCTCTTTTTATCAAATAGGTTCTTAAGTTTCCGTTTTCGCTTAATTAATAGCTTAATTAATAGATTAAAAAAAGAAAAAGAAATATCAGGTTGAAAATATTACTATTTTTTGAAGAAAAAAAAACCTAAAACTTTATAAAAGAAATCTAGTTCAAACACTCCTGGTGAAAAAGCAAAGATGATATTTATAGTTGGAAAAAGCACCGCATGCTAATATTTCCAAAAGTATATAAACAATAAAAAAAAGCATCGACATAAGCCATAAGCAACTAATTTTAAGCAAATATATATAGCCTGGTATATAATGGTCACAAGAAGTAGTTATAGAAAACCCTAATTAAAGAATTCAGAAAAAACGTTTGAGCTCACCGCAAGCTAGAACAATCAAATCCAGCACAGCCGATGGAAATAACCCTGAACCTAAACCATGAGCAAAAAGTAGCAGATGAAGGGAACAAAGAGAAACCGAGGGATGTACTATACACATGCTAATTAACTGATAGTAAATGACATTCCAGGTTCTAATATTAGAACCCATCATAGCTTACAGTTCTAAGAAGCTGAACCATGTAACAGATAGCAGGTTTTAAAATATCTTAGCATAAAAGAAAATCTTGTCATGACATACAGACAACTAACGAGCCTTGAATATGTTGCTACAAAACTTGCTTGATAAGCTAATGAAAAGATCATTTAATTTAGCCATTTCTCAGAACACTGTTTTTAAGAATATTAGCAAAACATGACCCTATCATCATGAATCCTGACACTCCCTTAAAGTCAAGTCTAATATGAGCGAAGCCAAAGATACCACATAATAAATGTAATATTACTTGATAAACTGATACCATGGATGCTTCATTTAACATTAAAAAAAAAAAAATTAGCATTGCAGTTGAAAAAACTATTTCAGACGCTCAATTATTTCCTAGTAATATATTAATGTCACAAAAGAAAAGCACACAAACCAAGCAAAAATGTTGTCTGGGACGAGTTCATGTTGTTTAACTGTTCCATATGCATCTTCTGACATTAAGGAAGCACATTATGTTCATCATCCTACAACAATTATACTACATGAAGGGACACAGGATATTAAAGAATGCCTTTTCAAGCATTATATGTCTATAACAACCATATGACCAATGTCCATAGGATAGGTTTCTTTCACAAAAAAGTAAATAAATCTTGAAGACTAAGTGCAAGAAAATATGTTATAATCATCTTGGACATTCATATTAGTTTAAGGATATAGGAAAAAAGTTCTAAGACATTTTATCCTGTCTTAAAGGGAACTTGCATTGGGTGCTGCAAAAACTCGAATATCTCTAAATATTTGGTGCAGGCAAATACATGAGCAGATCTCTATCCACATCAAAAAGCAAAATTTCGGTTGCATAGACATTGTTATTAGTAGAACGCCCACTCGCAGCAAAACTTTGATCGTTAGATTATTCTATCCCTTGAGATAGACAGGTGAAACTTGGTTGGGAATCTAAATCACAAATTACATGGCTCTTTTCTGAATCCTCAAAATGATCTTATTTTATTTTCTTCTTTTCTGCAACACTACCAACTCTTCGACAGCCCGGCCAAAAAAAAAATATTCTTCCAATTTCATCCATCAAAACCCTAACTCGAAAAATTCCGATTCTTGTGTGAGTTAATTGATATTAAAGAGTAAGAGATTTAATTCAAGAGATTTGAGAAAGAAAGTAGGAAAATTCAGCACAAATCACAGGTACAAACACAACTCACAGGCCAACAAATACCAAAATCAAAGAGAATGGATTAACTAAGTAGTAAAGCTGATACAGAGTAATAATCGAGCAAAATAACTTTGAATCAAACTCAAATCTGAACTTCACAAAGAAATTTTTACCTGATTGAATTGGTCTTGTGATGGATCATTTCTCTGTTACTTTTTCTTGTGTCTGCTTTTCTAAGGGATATATCGAAAGAGAAGAAAAGCATATATGTGGGAGTAGCCAAAAATGTACGCGTATATCTGCAGAGAGCACAAAAGGACACATA